TATGCTGGGATTTTCGGATGAGGCATTCGAGTTCTCGAATGTCTGCTGTCATGTCCGCATTGGAAASATTGTTATAAAGCCATTGCAAAAGTCGTGCCCGCCACGCTGGTTGTGCCCGCTCAATGTCAGCCTTGACACGACACCATTTACCCGAAGCAGCTTCATGAAGAAGGCGATGGAGTGAGGTACGGATTATGAGTTGGGGACCTGGACGAAGATCAATAGCAAATGACGGAGGCGAAGGCGTTGGGAGGAGAGGCAAAGGCCGAGAGGGTGTTGGCAAAAGAGGTGCAACATGGGAGCCAGCGGGTGTCGGCAAAAGGGGTGATGTGTGAGGAGGATTAGCTGATGCAGGAATAGATGGAGCATGTGAGGGCTGAGCAAAAAGGGATTGCGGAACGAACGGCTGAGGACCCATTTGTGTCCATCGGGAAGGACGTAAATGCCGTCGTGGAGATGGCAATCTAGCCATTGGAAGGACTGCATTGAAACCGACTGGGTGAAGCGTTCGAAGTTTTCGAACCCAAAAACCCTCGCGGGGTGCAGCAGCCCTCCCAAAGAGGCCATGATCAACAAGACCTCCAGACGTATGATACAGGGTAGGATCGATGCATTCCAGGGGCCAAACCGCGAAGTTGAATGCTGGTTGCCCACTCATTGTGCGATAGAAATGGCGATGGTGAAAAGTAGCAGAAGAGTGTCGTGTATGCCAATGCTCTTGCAGCCTTTGGTGTGCAGAATGCATCGTCTGTCCAACATAAAAACGACCAGAAGGTAAATGAACAATTGCATAAATCACTCCTCGAACAGTGAGGGGGTCCATACCTAGCTCAAGAGGTTGTTGATCAACACCTAGCAATTGTAACTCAAACCGCTCGGCCTGCACAACATTGTTAAGATGACGGAGTTGTTTCTTGCGCCACCTTCCTGCAGAATACAAGTTAGTATTCCACTCCAAGTGTGCACGCCAATCTACACGATGAGATACAGATGCCTGGCGGTTCGACATGTGAGCATAAGCAAATGGGACAGCGTGACCTAGAGGAAAGCTTGGTATGGCACCTGCCATGCGAACGGCAGGTAATCTCCAGAAAGGGGTGGGAAGTATCGAAACAGCCCCTTGATTATTTCTCAATTGCAAATTCATTGATTATGAAACGATTGTTTTTTTTGTTTTTTTTCTTATTTGTTTTTTTTCATTTTTTTATTTTTTTATCAACTTTTCAATCCAAAGAAAGGAGGTGGGTGCATGAGGTGACAGGACTTTAGGCCCGACGCCTCAGGTCGGGATTCCTGTCATCGTCCTTTTTGTTTGCTGTTCACAGTCAGCAGCATTGTCAAAGAGGGAGCTTGGTGTAAATGTGAATATATATATATATTCAAACTCCGACGAAACAGTTTGTCACAGCCCTTCGTTTGTTGTCCTCTTCTCTCTCTCTGGCTACGGTTTACCGGACAGTTCTGTTTGTGACGATATATATCGTCACAATATATATATATATATATATCGTCACAATATATATATATATATCGTCACGAACAGAACTGCCCGGTATATATCAGCCTCCTGATGAGTCGGTGAAACTCCAACGAAACAGTTTGTCACAGCCCCTCGTTTGTTGTCCTCTTCTCCCTCTCTGCCTAATGTTTAATGGGCAGCTATATATATTGTCACACTGTGAATCAGAGGCGAAAAAGAGCAAAACAAGGAAAGGAAAAAAAGTAAGGAAAGCCGCACCTGTTCATCAGCTCTTACGTACAAGGCCAGCCACGTGGATGACAGGTCGAGCACTGGCTGCCCCCATCCCCATGTGTCACAAGGACCCACTTGCACGCAACCAAAAGGCAAAGAGGTAAAGAAAAGGAGGAGGAAACCAGACCTCACAGAGGCAAGAGAAAGAGACAGGGATCCAATCAAAGAAAAGACACATCCTACAGATAAACCAATTGCCACTGTCACAACAAGGTTCAACGTATTCTTTTTTTTCTTGTCTTTTTTCTTGTTTTCTTTTTCTTTTCTTCAAAAATTTGATTTTTTTTTCTTTCTTTCTTTCTTTTTTTCTTTTTGTTTCAATTTTTTTCTTTTCTTCTTTCTTCAACTCCACATCTGTTGGTAGTATCGACAGCTTTATCTGGCCCTTGCAGCCACGGGCCTGTCCTTGGGGCATCAGTCACAGTTGGAGCTATACACATAAATCAAGAAATGGTCCTCATTACAAAAAAACAAAAGAAAGGGTCTCCAGAATGAATGTTCCCCTAGAAGACGGAAATATACATCCTGCATGTGTAGAGGGGTGGAGCGAGGCCCGACTGTACATAGACAAGAAGACCACCACGTCAGACGGTGATAGGGAAGCCAGAGAGAGAGAGAGAGAGAGAGAGGAGCAGTTGGGCCTGTCGTTTCTTGGAGGGCGTGGTGATCCCGTTTTCTGGCCGCAGTACTTCGAGTTGTGTCTTCAGCCAGTCATTTCATGGAGCGCGCGGTAATCCCGTTTTCTGCGACGATTGCGGCCAGATACGGGAAGAGTCCGAGGGGGAAGGGGGGGGGGGGAGAGAGGGAGAGGGAGGGGGGGGGGGGGAGAGAGAGAGAGAGAAAGAGAGAGAGAGAGAGAGAGACGTACTATTCGAATAGTAGGCACATGCGTACTATTTGAACGTGGGTACTATTTGGATTTTCGGGAGCTACTTCGAAAAATAGAGTTTTCCAGAGAAAGTTGAATAGTACATACGTGTGTTTTGTTCGGGGAAGACTGTAGAGTTTCAGCTAGCACCGGTGCAGCCATGGCTACTTCATCTATGGCGCAAACCTCTTCACAGTCCACTTCGTCAGGAGTCAGTCAGAGTGGTTCTCAGGGGTACACTAGTCAGACTGTTGGCTTGCGAGTCAGCCAGCAGACTCAACTCACGCCGAAGGATTTAGAAATCCGGCAAGCAGAAGAACATCAGGATGAGCTACAGCGGCAATTGGACGAGGCAGCAGAGAGGAGAAGGAGATCAATCCTGAGAAAAGCTAGACTAGGTAGTAGAAGAGAGGAGCTAGGCAGACTGGAAGGACTAGATGAGGCGGCATTACACCCTGTTGTTCGTATACTGCGTAATGCTTTACTATCAGTGACAGAAGCGCAGAACGTCCAGCAGGAATTGTTGGCTGAATTGGTAGCAGGCCAGAAACAAATCCTGGTTGAACTTCGGGCTCCTCGTACGATGATGAGGCAGCCACAGTTTGTTGTAGTTCCCCCTGCGGGTGCGGGTCCTTTCATCGATGCCGCTACACACAAGGCCAACTTTCTCTCCTATGTTTGGCATGCCCCCTCCAGGTGGTTTAGTAGCAACTAGTGGTCCGGTTCATAGAGTCTCGGTCGTACCATCGACGACAGTGGCAACTACAGTCCCACTGTCAAGCCAGGCCAAGGTTAGTGTGCAACAGCCTGTTTTAGTGGTTATGCAGCCGCTGCAGCAAGCCCCTGGGCCCATGCAGCCTATGCAGTGGATGCCCAAGATTCCTCTGCCGAGTCCTAAACCTTTTTCTGGAGACAGGAAGAAGGATGAGGATTTGGATACCTGGGTAAGGATTGTGCCTACATATGTGAGGCATAAGCTTACAAGGCCAGAGCAGGAAGTTGTAATTGCTGCGTCCTTTTTAGAAGGATCAGCAGCACGTTGGTTGAATAGGTTAGTGGAGCAGCAGGGCTATGGTCAGAATTTCGATGCATGGGCACAGGCCCAGACATTGGAACAATTCATACAGACTGTGTACAGGAGATGGCATGACCCTCAAGGGGCTCAGAAGGCCACCAACGCGATCAACAATTTGTGTGCCAAGAAGTACAAGAATGTCCGTGAAGTCACAGACACTGTAGAACGTCTGATCGTAGTACCTGGTGTGCGCTTTGACGCTCAAGTACTCCTCACGTATTATTTGAGATGTCTTCCATCAGAAGTCAGGACGAAACTTGTGGACGAAGCCTACATAGACCAACACAGTTTTGCTACTTTCAGCAGGAAGGCTCTAGACATAGAGGCAAAGCTGGGATCCGCGCGTCAGGTATCACATGATGGTAGGAAGAGACTCCCCCAGGATTGGAAGAAGAAGGGTCAGTTGATGTTCGTTGACCACGATGGTCAATCAACGGAGATTGACGATTTCCCAGATCTTGGGGAGGTGACAGAGCAGGATGGGGCCAGCGAGACTTCGGATGGGGGAGTCGTGGCACCTATCAAGGAAAAGGCTAGGGGGACCGGGAAGAAGAAGGTAGTACGGTCCACGGGTCAGGGCGACCAAGGAACACCCGCATGGGTAAAACTTGGTTTAGAGTATGAGGTGTGGAGAGACAGAGTTGTTAGGGGCACGTGCATGAACTATGGCAATTATGACCACACGTCTAGAACGTGTCGAGGCAAGAAAGTCTTGACGAGGGTAGCTTCACCAACGGTGGTGGGACTATCTTCGAACTCTGGTGGTGCTCCTGCGAGCACTTCGCAGGGAAACACCTCGGGCCAGTAGGAGTATTAGCCGCTCTTACTCGCGCTGAAGTGGTAACGTTGCCTTCCCCACTTCAGGCGTTGGCCAAGGCTAGAGACCCACGCATCGCCCCGCAGACACATTCAAACCCACCGACGCTCTGCTCGAGAGATGTGTCTGAGGCCCTGGAAGAGTTAGAGACTAAGTGGTCAGGGAAGGACCCCAGGGACTTTTGGGCGACGATCAGTAGAGGTCCAAAGGGTGAACATTTTGTGGTAGAAGTAGATGTAGGTGGCCGCAAGGTTGGCGCCTTCGCAGACAGGCTCTACACGAAATTTCATCGGTCGTGCTTGTGTGGATAGACTGCGCTTAGGGGACCAAGTGCAGCGGCTTAGCAGAACTGTAGCTTCTATGCTAGCCAACAAGCACCAAATGGTTGTAAAAGACTATGTCAAGGACGTAGCCTGTACCTTCTCCTATGGAGGAGAGGAAGTGATTTACAAGATCTCCTTCCTGGTGAGCGACGAACTGCCATTCGATATGCTACTAGGCATGTACTACCTCGAAGTCTCGCAACCTCAGTTTGACTGGGATAGAAAGGTGTTGATCCACAAATTGCCCAATGGTAGAACTGTTAGATTGCAGAAGTATAAAGCTAGCAGTCTAATAGAAAACTACGGGTGTATGTGCGCTTCATCCTTCTATAACTACTATAAGCAGAATCGAGAGGAGGGCATGTATCTAGTCTTTGTCTCTGGCGTGGTGGAAAGAGAGGTTGTACATGCGATAGAGGTTGTCCCAGGTAGCAAGGTTCCTAGAGGACGAATCTATAGGATGTCTCCTGCGGAGTTAGATGAGCTTCGACGCCAGCTCAAGGATACCTCCCCTTACGGCGCTCCAGTGCTATTCATACCGAAGAAGGGAGGTACCCTGAGGATGTGCATTGACTATAGGGGTCTCAATGCCATCACTGTGAAGAACGCAGAGCCCCTACCCCGCATCGACGACCTATTGGATAGAGTGCAGGGATGTCGGTACTTTACTAAGATAGATTTTAAGTCCGAATACCATCAAATTCCCATTAGACCTGAGGACCAGCACAAAACCGCTTTTTAGACCAGGTACGGTCTGTACGAGTTTGTGGTGATGCCCTTTGGCCTATGCACTACACCAGGGACGTTCCAGCATGCAATGAACCGGATTTTTCATGATTACTTAGACAAGGTTATCGTCGTGTACCTCGACGATATCCTTATCTTTAGTAAGACTGCAGAGGAGCACGCTGAGCACTTGAATGCAGTGCTAGGTCTCCTAAGACAGCACCGGTACAAGATTAACTGGGAGAAATGCGAGTTCGGCCGCACCAAGATCTTGTATCTGGGTCATGAAATTTCAGCAGATGGGTTCAGGCCAGAAGATGCAAAGGTGGCCAGCATACGTGACTGGCCTAGACCTCAGACCGTTACTGAGGTCAGATCGTTTTGGGGGATGACAGGCTATTATCGTCCTTTCGTCAAAAACTTTAGTACGGTAGCCTCCCCAATAACAGATCTAACTCGACTCGACACTCCTTGGGAGTGGACTGAAGAGTGTGAGGCAAGCTTCAAGAAATTGAAGTATGCTCTAACACACTATGAAGTTCTCGAACTTCCTGATCCTGACAAGCCGTTTGTTGTGACCACAGACGCCAGCCAATATGGCATAGGAGCGGTCCTTGCGCAACACGAAGGGCCAAAGTTGAGACCGATCGAGTGCATGAGTAAAAAGATGCCTTCTCAAAAGTTAGCTAAGTCCACTTATGAGAGAGAGTTCTACGGCCTGTACAAAGCGCTAGTTCATTGGAGACATTACCTCCTAGGAAGATTCTTCTATGTGAGGTCTGCCCATGAGACTTTGCTCTGGATTAAGACACAGCCTGTGTTGTCGAATGCACTCAAAAGATGGATTCAAGTGATAGACATGTATGACTATCAACTTGATCCTATCAAGGGTACGTACAACAAAGTGGCTGATGCGCTATCAAGAAGGGCAGATTATCTGGGCGCGCTAGTCACTGAGTTCGGCATATCTGACGAACTCACTCGATCGCTGGTGGAAGCCTATCACGGAGACCCAGTTATGTCTGCGATCATCCATAGATTCCAAGCCAAGGATAAAAAGACTTTGGACGAATTTACGATGATAGATGGCTTGCTATTCCATGAGAAGGCAGGGAATAAAAAATTATGTGTAGCTAATAGCGAGTCTTTACGTAGTTTATTTTTAGGAGAATGTCATGATGCAACTGGTCATTTTGGCTATAGGAAGACATCAGCGAACTTAGGGCAGAGATTTTGGTGGCCCTCTATGATGGAAGATGCGAAACGCTATGTTGAAACCTGCCAGGTTTGTCAAAGAGACAAACCAAGGACCCAAGCTCCGCTTGGGCTGATCAAGCCCTTACCGATCCCTGAGGGACCAGGCCAAAGTGTGTCCATGGATTTCATGGATACACTGGTGACCAGCAGGACTGGGAAAAGACACATCTTTGTTATAGTGGATCGCCGTACTAAGTATGCAAGACTAATCGCCATGCTTGAAACTGCTAAAACTGACTTTGTCATCAAACTCTTCATGGATAACTGGGTAAGGGATTTTGGTCTACCCACGTCTATTGTTAGTGCTAGGGATGTCAGATTCACGAGCGAACTGTGGCAGTCTACTGCTGAACAAATGGGCACAAAACTCCAAATGACTTCAGGAAATCATCCCGAGTCAAATGGTCAAGCGGAACAAATGAACCGAGTAGTACAGCAACTGCTTAGGCACTATATCAAGCCAAGTCAGGACGACTGGGACGAGAAACTACCTCTCGTTGCCAGCCTGTACAACAACGCTGTGCATAGTACTACAGGCATGACTCCCAACCAACTGCATCTTGGTTGGAAGCCGCGAACCGCCCTTGACTTTCTGCTACCAGAAAGGGAACCCACTGCAGCACCCGGCAGCATAGAGTTTGTTGTCAAGTATGAACAGATGTTGCAGCAGGCCGTTGAGCATATCAAGAAATCTCAGGAAGCAATGATTGCATCTGAGAATAAGCATAGACGGCCTTCTAACTTTCACATAGGCGAGAGAGTCTGGATCAAGTCCGCTGAGCTTGGTCAGGAGTTAGGCATATCCCGCAAGCTAATGCCACAGTACTTTGGGCCCTGGGAGATCTTAGACATTGTAGGAGATCAACCAGACGGTCCTTCATATGTAATTCGCATCCCACCTAACTTGCGTACCTACTTTGTGTTCCATGCCTCTAAGTTCGCACCCTTTGCTGCTACTGAGCAGTTCTCTTCCAAAAGATCAATGCTGCCCCCAACCATGGATGGCGAAGTGGACATTGACCAGATCGTCGAGCATCGAGTGATGCCTGTTCCTCAACCATCAGGCAGAGGGCGACCTCCTAAACCGAGAATGCAGTATCGTGTGAGCTTCAGACATCATCTGGATCCTAAAGAAGACCGGTGGTTCACACGAGAAGAACTCATGAGAACAACACCTCAAGTGATTGCAGGCTATGAAAGATCACTCAAAGGGAAAATGCCTGCAGAATAAGAGACTTCTCAGAGGACCTACGAAGTAAAGGAGGAGGGAATGCGAGGATCTGGGTCCTCGGCAGGCCTATGGGGCCCTGTATGCAGCATTGCCCGCCTTAAGTGAAGGCGGAGGTGCCCGCCCTAAGTGAAGCCTAACAAATCACTTGAGGACCTCGACTGTCAATTTCATATTTGGGGTCCAGGCAGTTGCGACGCGCCAGTTGGTTGAGAGAAACTCAGGTCGTGCTACACAAACATTTCCACGGCCTTCCGGGCCTTTCCAAGGAATGCAGGCCCTGGGCGTGATTCGCAGCCTCATACAGAGACAATTGGGCGCCCAACTGAACGAGGCCCAGCAGCCCAGTACTTGCTACATCCAGGCAGCCTCCTGGGGCCTTCCGGAAGCTTCTGGGCCCAGGCCACTCCAGCCAGGCTGCGCGAGCACGCCGGCTCTTTCCATAAAGGAAAGAGCTCTCCCCCTGGCGGGGCATTCAAGCACTCGCATGCTAGCGGCAGCCCTGCTGGAGCAAAGGCTCGCGGCTGCTGGCTGGCGCTGAGAGGCGAGGTGCAGCACGTGCGGTCGTGCAGGGAAGAAGGTCGCTGCCGAGGGCAGCGCCATAGCCCAGCCACCATAGCTGGTGGGCTTGGACTACAGTGAGGCGCAGGGGTGGTCTTTGGGTGTAAGAGAGGACAGGTGTGGGTGTAAGTCAGGGAAGGGCGAAGGATGATGATGATGATGATGTGAGGGCACTAACCTTGTATTGGGGATGGTCTGCATATGGGCGACATCTTCAAGTACTTCGGGTTGCCGCTAATGTCAACAGTTGCATTGTCTATTATTAGGCTGATCGTAGCTGTGTAGGAGTAGGCTGGGCGCTGAGCGCCAAGTAGGAGTGAGAAGGGACTGGACTCTTGTGTTGCTGAAGGAGAGAGGAAGCTCTCCATGACATTGGTTTTCAGTACTACCAACCTCCATTGGTGTAATATTGGTGCAATGCTGCTCTCTGGACACAATGTGACTATCTGGCTTTTTATGTGATGGTGTAATCTGGATTTGTCATCTCGCTGTTGCTTATTTTCCTTGAACAGAGCGCGAAGGCGAAAAAAAGCAAAACAAGGAAAGGAAAAGAAGGAAAGCCCCACCTGTCCATCACCTCTTACGTACAAGGCCAGCCACGTGGATGACAGGTTGCGCTGTCACACTGTGAATCAGACGGCGAAGGCAAAATATATATACATATATATATATCGTCACAAACAGATATACATATCGTCAAATAGAACTGCCCGGTAAACCGTAGGCAGAGAGGGAGAAGAGGACAACAAACGAGGGGTTGTGACAAATATCGTCATGTATATATATATATATATATATCGTCAAATAGAACTGCCCGGTAAACCGTAGGCAGAGAGGGAGAAGAGGACAACAAACGAGGGGCTGTGACAAACTGTTTCGTCGGAGTTTCACCGACT